CCCACCACCGTTTCCCATTTCCAGGTCTGGATTGGGCCATGAAATCTGTCCCACTGAAACTACCCAAAGTCCCTTTAAAGGATGGGAAGTGAAAGCATTTCAGCTTATCAACACTAGATTGAAGATACACAAACTGAACTGAAGAAGTTACCTTATACTGAATGATTTATTGAGCAGAGAAATGCCGCTTCTAGCCAGTTGCAGCTCTCCTGGATTTAAGCAGGTGTCTTTCCTAATCCTACCTAGAGATTCTTGGTATTCCCTGGTGATCGCTCAGCCCAAATGCTAATAAGCGACAATGTTACTTAGCCTCCAAAGTCAAGGTAATCTGTGTGTTTGCACAATACATGACGTCCTAAAAGGAATGTATTTCTCTACATTTTTGAATTAAAATATGTAATCTGTAATTCCATATGACATAATGACACTACTGATTGTATAGAACAGTAAGAGAATCCCAGAGGCTTTCTTTTTCTTCTCACCAGAAGGATAAATCAATTAATCAGAAATAAATCAGCCAATCAGAAACTCATCCAAACCAGGATACCTGGCTTGCCACATTCCCTACTAGTAAGAGAATCTCAGAGGCTTTCTTTTTCTTCCCACCAGAAGGATAAATCAATCAATCAGAAATAAATCGGCCAATCAGAAAACTCATCCAAGCCAGGATACCTGGCTTGCCACATTCCCTACAAAAACCAAGAACAAAACCTGGTTTCCAATGCTGGTTTCCAATGCTGGCTTATTGTGGATGTAACAGGCCTCACTTCTGGGTCTGGATGACAGGCTAAGCTTTCAGTTCCCAGGTAGTTTAGCTGTTTTCATGGGAGGAAAAGCCAAACGGAAGGAAGGAGGGAAAAAAAACCTGAATGACCAACACACAGCTCATGAATTATAAACAGAAAACTTTTTTTTATATTACAAGTGCCAGAATTCCCATCATCACAGCAACTAGCCAGGTTTGTCAGGAAATTCTGGAATCTGCAGTAGAAGAAAAGTAAACTGACTTGCCATTTCAGTCAGTTAGAAAACATTTAAAAGAAATCAGACAATCTTACAAATAAGGTTACAGCCAAGAAGGCCATCAACATCTATACTAATATGGGATGTTTGGGCAGAACACAGTTATGTGAGTTTGACTCGACTTTAAGTACCATGGTTTAGCCCTATGGAATCCTGAGGTTTATAGTCTGATGAAAAATACAGAACTGAACACTATTCTCTCCCCTGAAACCAAACCACGTACCAGTATTTTTCGCTCCATAAGACGCAATACAGAACTGAAACCAAAGCACGTACCCGTATTTTTCGCTCCATAAGACGCACCTTTCGATAAGACGCACCAATTTTTTAGGAGAAGAAAACAGGAAAATATAATCTGTTTTCTTCGCTCCATAAGATGCACAGACTTTCCACCCCCCTGTTTTATGGGGGAAAAGTGCGTCTTATGGTGCGAAAAATACGGTAATTCAAAGAACCTTATCAAGAGCCCTAGCTTCCTAGAAACACCTAGCAAGTGTTGGAAACAGGATGCAAGACTTGTTTTCTCTGTTTTCACACTGTCACAGAAGTCTTAAAACAAGATCGATCCTTCACGCCTTGCTTTGGGAAGTACTTCCCTTAGAAGAGGCAAATTCGCACCGCGTGAGTAGAGGTTGCAATTTTAAAAAAAGACAGAAACAAGCACCTCAGTAGATAGAGCCCAGATGATAAGCCTTGTATTGATGGACGTTTGAATACGTGTAGGTTTCATCCTGGCCTCGTTTACAGCATGCCAACCCATAAACATAACCGCAAACACACACACACAGACAGTTTTATATTCCACCTTACATTAAACCCCCTGAATAAATCCACACAATCTAAAGCACTAGCATAATTCAGGACAGCAAGACAGACATTGCTCCTTAATTAAGCACTGGATGTCCTCCTTAAAGCCAGAAGACATCCTTGAGCTATAAGTGAAGATTAAACATCCGTTCCCGCCAAAGAACAGCCTAATTTTATCAATGTTTAAAGGCTCTAAATCATGAAAAATAAACCATCTAACAGCCGGGTATTCGATAGCAAACAGAAAGTCGGAACGGTGGCCGATTTGGATTAACACATTTTCAGTTATAACAAGTAATTTTACAGCGGATTAGTACCTTGATGGGCTGATCAATACGAGGGCTTCGCTGCCATTACACGCGAAGAGAAAATTACCCCTCTGGTAATAAAGGGTGTGTGTGCGTTGGTTCTCCTTCATTTGTGGAAGCCATTATCGTAATGGTCCCAGCGTTAACAGCTGGGGCAATCTGAACCTGCAGCGGTGTGATGAATTTTAAAACGGAGAGCATTTGCCATGTGCTCCATCTTGCATTTCATTCCCCCAGTGCTGAGCTTGTGTGCTTTTTCCCCCCTCTAACCCACAGAAGATTCATGACATTGACCATGCGCTTTTCTCCAGTCCTCTGTCCCATTCATAGCATGGGGCAGCTAAGCCTGTTTTCACCAGAGAGCTTCCATAAACGGGACCCACCTCTACAAAGTAGTCCTTGAACAAAAACAACAACAAAAATCCATCGTGGGAGTCCGTTTGCAATGGAGGAGACAGTGAAAGAACACAGAGAGTAGAGCCAGAGGGTTGGGGGGTTCGATTCCCCACTGTGCCACCTTGACATAGGCTCGACTCGATGATCCATAGGGTCCCTTCCAACTTTGCAGTTCTAAGATAATGATGATGATGATTTAGACATGGATACATGTAGGTATTGGATAACAAGTAGGATCACAAATCCATCAAGTCTTGGTTAATATACTCTGAAGGAGGGGAGCTTTGCAAGGTCTTGGGTTAGGGTGGAGAACCTTTGGACTTCCAGACATTTTACATTATAAATCCCACGATCCACCCCCATTACTTACGTTGGCTTGGTTTTCTGGAAGGTAAAATCAAAAACCTCTAAACAGCCAAAGGCGCCATACTGCTGCTATTAATAATTCGGCCATTTTATTTATTTTATTGATTTTATTCTTATCCTGCCTTTCTCTCAATCACTGGACCCGAGGCAGCTCACAAATGATCGAACGCTGACCCAGGTGGAAACACGATAAGCAACTGCATTGAAAAATAATGAGACATATATGTATTGCTATTAAAATAATTAGATACAGTAAAAGTGGTAAAAACACCTTTAGAGCAGACTGAAACATTTTTTTAAAATGTAAGTCCTGGTCTTTTTAAAACTGTTAACTTTTACCAGGAAAAGCAATGGGCCCTTCCATGCAAACAGCTAAGGAGGTGAGGCTACCACTGTTACTCTATAAGATGACTCTGCAGAAGATAGAGGCTTACCAGTTAATGAACCAGCATCATGTATTTGGTTCCGAGATTAAGTTCTGAGGAAACATGCACAGCGAGAGGCCGGTAGAAGTTTGACTACTGCACCAACAGTTTTCTGGAGCCTCCCATGTGAAAAAAAAAGTGTCAGCCTGCAAACTGCAGATTGCATTCCCAAAAGCTTCCATTGTCACAACTGGCTATTTGAAGTCTCTTTTGGGTAGCCTTGTGCCTGGTCTCTGCTCCAAATAACTACATAATAATAACACCAACAACTAGATGGCCATATAGATTCGATGTGTTGCTTTAACTTTACTCCTGGATTTGGAGAAGATTTTGTGTTGAAACAGAATTAGACTGGAAATCTCTAGATAGGATACTGGGGTGAGCAATACCTGGATTGACCCACAAATCGCCAATTAAAATAGGTCCCAGAAATAGCCCATCACGGCTTCAAGAGGGTCCCTTTCGGGTACTTTATTTAAATCCACCAAGGTCTTATTTCAAATTTGGAAGTGATCTGAAGGCCATTTCAGGCCAAAAAGAGAACGAGAACTTACTACGATTTTATGCTCATATTTATAAAGTTGTTTCCAATATATGTTTGTGTCCTATTCGGACTGCAAGAAGCTTCCTTCTTTTAATCTCTAGCACTCGTGGCTATCTTTATATTATTGTTCAGAACCATTCACATCATGGTTATACCACCTCAGCTTTTGCCACTGGAAAAATCCATGGCCATTTCTCAATAAACATAAATCGGAAGACGTTTATCCGAGGAAAGGAAGATTGAACACAAACTGAGTACTAATGAATATGGTGTCATAACGGTTAGTGTGTCAAATATAGGGAAGTTCCACCTCCAAGCCTTCATTCATTCATGAAGCTCAACCTCGGTCACAGTTAGTTACTCTTGCAAAGAATGAAAATAGAGGGAAACCATATATATGTCGCCCTGAATTCTCCGGAGGAAGAGAAGAATTGCAGTTTAGAAAAAAATTACATTTTTGGACTACGATTTTTATAATTCCTATTCATGCTGTTTGGAGGTCTCTGGGAGTTATAACCAGCACAATAACTTTGCCAGGCTCTGAAATGTTTATAAATGTAGTAAAGAAACAAATTTCTAAATGTGTAGCTATGTTAGCCTGCTGTCGATTGTTGGGGATTAAAAAGCAACAGTCTTGCGGCAGTTTATTAAAGCCTAACCAATTTTATTTCTCTCTTTCTTTCATTTTTTTGTAAGCAACAGTCAGTAAACAAACAGAGTCAACAATGTGACAGTCCTCTATTTATTTCCCGGGACTCTGCTTGATGTGTATCAACAGGGATGTTTTCTAATCAGATACACACTAACACAATCGGTGGATAAAATCATCATTCCGCCTTGGATTCTGCTTCCCGGAATGCATGGGGTCCAAGCCACAGAATAGCAATCCTATGCAGAGCTGTTTTGAGAATAAAACTCCACTGAAATCAGGAGGTCTTGCTTTTAAATTAACAGAAACAGGATTGCACTGTCAAGGAATCCTATGCATGCATTTGACAGAATTGCATTCCTAAATTACTGTGGACTCTTTTTTTTTTGGTGTTGCAAGAAGGTGAAAAAGTTGCTTTAAAAAAATTCATCTATTTGCACTCACTCGGTTTTGTTGCTTTTCCTGTAATTTATATTATTTACCTTGGCATCCTTCTCATTTTCTCCTCTTCCTCTCCTCCTCTTCATCATTGTGATCATGCTATTTGGAGGGCTGCTGCATTGGCTTCACGTGCAAAGAGCCCGCCTTTAAACGAACACGCTTCCACCACTACAACTCCAGGCACGAGAAAGCCCCAGCATTGCAGTCAGAGGAATAGACTGGGCAGCTTTGCAACCAAACGGACCACAACTCCCAAGATGCACCGCGCATTCTCTCTCTTTTCCCCCCCTCCCCCGTCAAAAGCCCGGAAGAGAGAGCGAGAGCGGGGCAGAATGCGCAAGCGCAAGACTCGGGCGTTCTGATCCCTGTAGGGAGGACGGAGAGGGACTCGGACTCAGGGAAACTACCCGTCCCACAAGGCATTGCGCGCGGCGGAGCCGGGTGAAATAACATGGCGGCCGCTGCGCGGAAGGCCCGCCTCTTTTTTCCTTCCGGGGCGGAAGTGGCTCTGGATGGTTAGCAACGGGGCTGGTTGCTAACGAAGGAGGCGGAGGGGAACCGGGCCGCGGTGAGTGCGGGTTGGAAGGGCTTGTGAGGGGCTTGGGGGGCGGAGAGAAGGCGCGAGGAGGCAAAAGCGAGCCAGGCCAGCTGAGGGACCCTCGTCGCTTCTCTGGGGGTCTCTTCGCGTGGCTTCGTTTGGCCCAGGGAAGCTCGGCTTGGCCGCTTGAGGGGGGGAAAACCTTGGTCTCCTTTTCGTGCACGGACTGGTGCGTCGTCGGTCAGGGTGGTTGATGATGGCAGATGATGGGCAACCGGTGCGTGCCTCTCCGTAACCCGACACGTGGCTGTGCATGCAGGGCA